AACAAGTGGAATAGTAAAACTTGTTACGAAATACAAAGTTGTAACTATGAACACTTGGATCTAGATATGTTTGAAAACATTTATTTTTATACAACTATCTGTATTTATTCATTAGCAGCTTCCATGGTGTTACAGGAGTGACGGTCGAATCCCACAGGGCCCGGTATGGCCAGGTGGTTAAGGAGCTCGACTCGCAATCTGAGAGTTGTTTACTTGAGGTTAAGGTACCAAAGTTTGTTTACTTGAGGTTAAAGTACCAAAGTTTGTTTGTTTCTTGGAGAATGGTATCAACACGTGCTCTTGGCTCCTTATTTTAACTTTATAAACGAAAAAAGGCGCCATCTTTTGTATGGAGTTGCCACTTTCAATCATGGATAAACTTACTTTTCAGACTGAGTTGGGAGTAACTTAAGGGTTAAGTCCGAGCGTACTCAAACTCTCAATCTTTGAACTTATTGTTAGTGATACATTGCTGCAAATATGCGTTTTGTACTCTTGGAGCATGTATACGTTATAAGAGTGACGGTCAAATCTACTATTTGATTAGACAAGAGTAGCGGAATTGTTAGCGTTGGGTGCTGTTGTCGTCTAGCTGTCTAGTTCATAGTTACAGACGACTTTGAACAGATAGTATTTGTGTACCTTTGCGCGAAATTCTGAAACTTTTCATACAATTCCAGAATCATCATATGCAAAAGTTTGCTCTGACAATCATTTAAGTTATTAGCAACTTAGTTACGATCTGTGGGGGGTTTTGAGTCAATTTTATTTCACCATATAGCAACCTAAATTAATATAAGTATATGAATAATGTTATAACATTTCGTCGAATTTATTATAGGTCACAGGTTATCCTTTCTGTTTCACCTCTGGTGAAAAAGGAAAAAAGAGATCTTTAATATATATATACAAATTAGTTAAGAGTTTATTTAATAACTATTGATATCTTATTTATTAATTTATCAAAACACTTAATAAAAAAACGTCATCAGCGTTTACTCACTATACCAAACTTCCATTCACTTCGAAGTTGTTAGTTTATTTACAGGATAAAAATGCCTTATAGGGGTCAATGGTTATCCTTGTTAACGTACAGTTAACGTTGTTCCAAGTCAAAATGGTAACCCTTAAGCGCTCGTAATTAAGGCTGTAGTACAATAATAACATGTAAACATTCTATTACGCTCTTATAACCTTGTTAAATAGACAAAAAAAAAAGTTTATAAACAAGGTATTGTTTGTTTATTTTTGAATTTCGCGCAAAGCTACACGAGGGCTATCTGCGCTAGCCTTCTCTAATTTAGCAGTGTAAGACTAGAGGGAAGGCAGCTGGCCATCCCCACCCACCGCCAACTCTTTTACCAACGAATAGTGGGATGGACCGTCACTTTATAACGCCCCCACGGCTGAAAGGGCGAGACTGTTTGGTGGGACGGGGATTCGAACCCGCGATTTGTTTACTTGAAGTTAAGGTACCAAAGTCTGTTCACTTGAGGTTAAGGTACCAAAGTCTTTGGTCAGGGCGCTTGACTCTCATTCTGAGGGTCGCGGGTCCGAATCCCTGCCCCACCAAACATGCTCGCTCTTTCAGCTGTGGGGGCGTTATAATGAGATTGTCAATCCCACTATTTTTTTTGGTAAAGAGTAACCCAAGAGTTGGCGGTGGGTGGTGTTGACTAAGCTGCCCTCCCTCTAATCTATCACTTCAAATTTAAGGACTGTTAGCGCAGATAGCCCTCGAGTAGCTTTGTGCGAAACACACAACAAACCAATAATGCTTTAGCCACTTTATTTACGTATTATTTTTAACTGCAAAACAAGTATGCAAAAAAATATATAAGTGTACTCTAACTGCTGTAAATATTATTCTGAGATCTGGCTACAAGTGAGCAGCACCGTATTCGGTTTGAAATACGGTAAAAAGCACCACATCTTCATCAGAGGAGCGAGCGCAAAACAAGAGAAAGGGGTTTAAGAATGATTTTTCAGGATTTACATACATCATGAACTGTTCTGAGCGCACATTTTATAATACTTCGAATATGTTTTAACAATACTGGAACGCCTCTCTGTGAATAGTAAATCCAAAATTCCTACGTTAACTTGTATTAGAAGTAGACACAATATTAAGCCTTCTTTATATATTTCCATAATACGTAGAACGTCTGCGTCTACAACACTACTAGTAAGTTCGTAGGGTATTTATTTAACAACTGCTTTCGTTTTATAAAAACAATGGCACTTATTGGTAAAAGCTAACATCCAAATGTGATGAAACGACATATAAAAGGCGCCACTCAATATTTACAAAGTTTTACTTGGTGTGTTTGCAGTTAAGCA